CGGTGCCTCGCGGACCGGCGCGGAGAGTCCTCAGGGGTCCCGGCGAACCTGACAACCGCCAGTGGTTAGCCCTAAAACAGTCGGGCAACCCCCTCGTCTCCGCTGGACCGCCGAACACCGGAGCCTCACCCGCGCGGGAGGTCATCGACTCCGAGCCCCAGCTCAGCGTGCCCACTGGGATAGGAGTAGAGTAGGCGGTGGGTGCGACGGGTGCGCGGGCGATGGTGCACCGATTTTTTTCGCGCACGGAGGGCACCCGGAGGGCGGCGCGGGGGTGTACAAGGGTTTGCGACGGGGGTGCCCAAAAGGCGCCTAAAGTTTTTCGCGCAGATCGCGGCGCCGAAGTGCGACACGGGGTTGACAACACCTCTCTCTTTGGGTAGACTCACGCCAGAACACAGCTGAGAGGATCGCGATTCCATCATTTTGGTAGGACCTCGTAGGCCTTATCGGCTTGGAAACGAATCGTAGTGCAGTTTCGACCCTCAACGGAGCACTGCTCCTGGCGAATTCGAGGCCCCAAATCTGCGAGGGCGGAAGTCGAACAGGAGCCTCGAGCGAACAGAGCGGAGCGAACTGCAGTGAGCGAACAGAGCGAGCGAGCGGGAAAGCGGAGGAGCCCGCGAGCGAGCGGAGTGAGCGAAAGTGCAGTTCGCGGAGCGAGTGAGCGACAGCAGGCTCCTGTTCGACTTCCGATTACGAGCAGATTTGGGGCCTCGAATTCGCCAGGAGCAGTGCTCTGTTGAGGGTCGAAACTGCACTGCGATTCGTTTCCGAGCCGATAAGGCTTACGAGGTCCTACCAAAATTTTAGAATCGCGATCCTCTCAGCTGTGTTCTGGCGTGAGCTGGGGACTCTACCCAAAGAGAGAGGAAACAGTTTTGTAGCATCGCGCAGTGGTTTGAAACGAAAGGTAAGCTTTGCAGCGTCGAGAGAGAATGCAGACAAACAAACAAACAAACACAATAACAGCGGTGAAACAGACAGCTCAAGATATACAACTACGTTGGCCTTTTTGTTCGGCAATCCATTTGAATAAGTGTTTATGTCGAACCGCAAGTTTCTGTTTAGAGAATCAGAGACTCTAAACCAATTCGACACTGCAGCACGAAGTGGTTCAATTTGTTGGCCCCAGGCAATGTCGACTTTGTATTCTGGGCAGGCCAGAGTTCCTTGCCAACATCCACGGTCAACTCCGCAATCTGGCTTCCAAGCTGCCCTAGTGCAATTGCAGATCGGAAGATGCCGATGTCTTCCACAGACACTCAGAGAGCATGTAACTTTCCTCTCCTCACAGATACCTCCTGTTGCACTTTTGTGGCAAAGTGATGAATCGAGCTCGTTGTCCGACGGCCCAGCCGTAGGGCTGAAAGCACACAACATTGGCAAGCGTCGACGAAACTGCCTTAGGTGCGACGTTGCGTGGGTGCATGACTCTCGAAGCTTAAAACAGGTGAGAGTAGTTCAACATACAGGGGGTGGTAGAGGCAAAGGAGCCTTGACAAGCTTTGCTAAACCAAGATTCCAGCGCTGATTGCTCTAAGAGTAAAGTCGCATTTCCGCTGTACGCTGCGTGTTTGCTGCTACATTGACTGATTGATTGTTGGCCAGGTGGTGGGCAGGGGGCTAAGCCAAGAACCCAGCAATCACTACAAAGACCTGGCTCAGGGCGTCCGAGACTTGCTAGGGACAGGTAAGGTATGGCGCGGTATCGAAAGCTTTTGTATTACCACTCTGGCAATCTAAGTGTGTGCATGTGATTCTCCAAGTCCTTAAGATGTTTCGACAGTCCCGCTTAAGTTGACCTTTAGCAGTTTGCACGTCTCCGTGGCGTTCGACCCAAGCAAAATACACAGACATAGTCGCTCAAAGGAAACTCGTTCGGACAACAAGCGGTGCGTTTCGGCTGGCCCGAGTGCGCAGAATGTCCTGTCGTTCAGCGCAAAGCTTCCACGCTGGGGTTGAAGACAAAGCAGCGAATAGTCCCGCTGTCGGCGAATTCAGAAGGAAGTATCCTTTGAGTTCGTCGTGGCACTTGCATATTTTCTGACTTTTCGCTCCTGGCTTAGCTCAGGCCGCCTTCGGTTTTCCTGGAAGCAAAGAGGACAATTTGAATGACCTCGAAATGCGGATCCCTTAGATTCAAGGGCTTCGTGTGTTGATGCGTGGTCAGGGGCCAGGCCCGAGGGAGCAGCCCTCGCCAAGCAGCATGCCGTTGCAAGTGTTGGGACCTGCTTTCGTAAGGAAAACCAATTAGATGTCCAGTGAGCCTTCTGCTAGCATGACACTATCTCAGATCGGTGATGTCTGTCTTTCATCGTCCGGACCGAAGACGTTTCTTGTGCAGCTAGCGGAGCGTGTATGCTGTATTCAGCATATATCTGGGCTACTCATCGAATTTGCAGCTCCGAAAAGTGGGGAGGGCCATGGGCGATGACACCCAACAACTGAATCCCAGGGCGATAGTGTCATTATAGCATTCGCCATGTCGCGCTGCCTCCTTACCTGGCTTCTCTTATGCGGTGTTCAAGGATCCGAGTTTGCCTGGACAGACGTCGCGCAGACCAATGCGCCGACTGAAAGACTCGGTGCTGGCATGGTTATCACATCGCAAAACCGGCTCTGGATGTGGGGTGGCGGTTCCAGTAGCAGCCTCACGACCGATCTGTACTATGTCGACATTCAAGCGGCCAGCAAAGAGTGGCAATCACACACACCATCTGGTAATGCGCCCGCCATGCGGAGCTATCTCCATATGATGATCGCTTCTGATGACGTGATGTACATGTACGGTGGGGATCACGATGATATCTGGTCCATGGACCTCCAGGCCGCTACGCCAACGTGGACGGAAATATCGACGTCGGGCACTCCGCACGCCACAAAAAGTTGGAACACAGCCGTGCTGACAACGGGCAAGGTGATGTGGGTATTCGGCGGCTACTACCCCAACAACAACAAAGTCACCTATATCGACCTCACGGCATCCAGCCCGCAATGGACTTCGGTGTCGCCAACGGGCGACCTCCCGGAAAACCGGAGACATCATGCTGCCGTCATAACTTCAACCGATGTGATGTACATCTTCGGGGGGCAAGACTCCGGCCACAAGAATGATTTGTGGTATCTCGACACGAAGGATCCCACCCAGTGGGTGGAGGTATCACCGAGCGGGACCTTGCCTGGGGTGCGCCGCGGGTGCAAAGCTGCCATTACTTCGGCCGACGTGATGTGGATCGTTGCGGGCGAGCAGGATACCGGCTTCTACAGTGACGTGTGGTACATTGATCTCCGGGCCGGGAGCCCCCAATGGACGGAAGCAGCCAGTGTGCCTGCGAAACGCGCGCACCATTCCCTCGCCATCACCTCGGATGACAAGCTTTGGGTCTTTGGTGGCTACCACAGCGGCTACCACAACACCTTATGGAACATGGATGTCAAGGTGACGACGACAACGGCCACGGCTACTTCTTCGACAACAGGCACAGCCACAGCTAGCTCCACAACGAGCCAAACGATTTCCAGCACGACTTCCACAGCAAGTTCGACGTCAAGCAGCACAGCTACGATCAGCACAACTTGGAGTAGTACTACCACTGGAAGCTTGACGTCAACAAGCACATCCTCAAGCAGTACCTTCACAAGCAGCTCTAGTTCAAGCAGCACCAGCTTCAGCAGCACATCTACAAGCAGAACAAGCACCACTAGCACAACAACAGCCAGCACAACTTCCAGTAGCTCAAGCAGCACAACCACAAGCAGCACAACCAGCAGCAGCACGACCACACGCAGCACATCGACAAGCTCCAGCAGCAGTTCAACCTCTACCTCCAGCAGCACAACGACTGTGAGCTTCAGTTCCACAACCAGCACTAGCAGTAGCAGTTCATCAACGACGTCAACCTCGTCAACCGCATCCTCAACCGTCACAAGTTCCACGTCGGTGACCACCTCAAGCATCAGCACGTCTAGCACTTCATCCTCATCCCCCACCTCAACCACAACAAGTTCGAGTACCACAACATCGGAATCACGGACATCCACAACCACACGGACGACCAGCAGCACAACGCTCACCGGCGAGGACCTGGCCAAGCACATCCAGGATCTGCAGCGGCAGGAGGAGGCCGCCCAAGCTGTCGCTGCAGTGGAGGCCATCGAGGAGGAGACGGTGCAAGAACTCCTTCAGGCCATCTTTACTGATGGTGCAGCAGATCCAGTTGAAACAGGCGGGATCCTGGCCAATGTGACGAGGCAGACGGAGAACGGCACAGTCAAGGTCACTGCAGTGGCTCCCCAGGCAGTGAGGCGCGACGGCGTCGTTGAAATCACATCGGGAGAGACGACCAAAGTGCGCGTGCCAGCAGCTGTTGTGGCGCAGGCGGCTGATCGGCGGCCGGCACAGGCAGGCGACCCTCCAGGGAACGCTTCACGGATGCTGTTGATCTGTGTCACGGATCTTGCTGAACAGAAAGCCAGCAAGATCGTCGACAGGCGCGAGGAGGGCGAGGCCACGTCCGTCGTGAAGACGCAGAGCTTAAGCATTACTCTGCGGAACGAAGATGGGAAGGTGGTGGAACTAGGCCAGCTTCTCCGACCTATCGAGTTTGTGCTCGAGTCGGAGGATGTCACCAACACCTCGTGTGCCTTCTGGGACGAGGAGCACAGCAGCTGGTCCTTCCGGGGACTTGAGACCTTAAAGGACCCGGCGCCCGGCCAACTCATGTGCCGAACCCAGCACCTGTCCATCTTCAGCGGGGTCTTGACCGATATTTGGCAGAGCGCCGTGTCAGTCATTGAATGCAGCTCCATTTGGGGGTTGTTTACGCAAGAAGGTGTGGAGCGGCTGGCTGCAGGGCGCTGGATAAGCTCACTTCCAGCCATCTCAACTCTGCTCTTCGTGGCCTCATTCTTTGTCGTGCTCATGCGCGCTGCCTATGTCGACAGGAAAACGCAGCAAGCAGTTCCCTGGCAAATGGTGGAGCCGGTGCTTTTCCGCGAGAAGCCCCATGTTTCCGGAGAAGACTCGGACTCGGACGCCGAGGGCGACGATGAGCCCCAGCTCAAGCACAACTGTTGCGTGCGCCAGCTCATCACAGTGAAAGAGTGGTGCTTTTGGTGCACGGGGATCTGCTTCGGCGTGGAGAACATCGTGCAGATCGTCACAGAGTTACTTCCGAATGCGCCGGAGGCCACGGTGAACCGCTGCATCAAGACACTCCATGCACATCGCAGTGGCGTGGCCAAGGACAGCTTAGCCATCCTGCTTCCGGCTGGTGAGAAGTTCGATGCCGACGACACCTTCGAGGAGGAGGAGGGAAGGCAGGTCCAGGTCGCTCGAAGCCAAAACCGGCAGAGCGTCTTCGCAAGTCTGGCGGGGGCGGCCCTCCCGAGCATGAACAACTTCACCTCGGCCCTTCGGGATCTCAGTGCCCGATGGAACGTCCATATCCACGGCGCCGGCGCGGTGAAATCCATTCTCGACCGTTCCTGGTGCGGGCGCGTGGGGCTGCTCCTGCCCGCCTTCCACCCCTGGATTGCGCTGCTGCGGCTCAGCATCGTGACCTCGTACAAGGTCCGTGTCTCCCTGATCTTTCTGAAAATTTGCACATCGGGCGCCACGAACGCCTTGTTCTTTTCGAGCAACTCCCCACTCGAAGGCTCGGATCCGAAATGTTGGACGCCGAAGGATTACTTCCGGAGACTTGTGACGAACACCATTGTGGGTTTCCTTGCTGCTTTCCTGGGCGACTGCGTTGTCTTCACCCTCTTTCTCCTCCAAGTTCGCAAGCCCATTGAAAAGCGGCAGTGGTCGGAGAGGGCGATTAGTCGGCAGATCGCCACTTGGCGCTGCAAAGGCTTCTGCTTCTGGTTCATTTGGCTATTCTACTCGGGCACATGCGTGTTCTACGTCATGATCTTCCTCGCCAATGTACGGTTGGTGGATGCACATGACTGGTACCAGAGCACCGGTATGAGCTTGCTGCAGGACTTGTTCGTGCTCCCTCTCACCACGGCTGTCGCTATGGGCAGTTTGGCAACCTTGGCCCTCAGAAGCCGAGGTGTGAGGGCGAAGGTTGAATCGAGGTGGTTTGAAGACGATAACGTGCAGGAGGAGCCCCAGGAGGAACCTGAGCTGGAGCCAGGAGCAGTCATCGTGGATACCGGCGCTGTCCCTGTGAGCCCAGGGAGTCCATCGCCCAACTCTGTGAAGGCCGACGGTCGACCTACAAAGGCGCCAGACTTCGACGACGTCTTGCCAGGGATGCCCATGGAGAGCTCATGAAGGCGAGGATCCGAGTCGCCGTCGCCTTTCATTCTTGAAGATGTTTCACCATCTAGAGATATAGACTATAGCAGTACAAGAGGTATAGCCGCTCTTCTGATCCCTTTCTGGGGATTTATAAGACTTTCGGGAGCCCATGCTATTGAGGGGGTGCCCTTGTTGGCCCCCCCGAAAATGTGAGAATGTCCTCTATTCCTGGTCTTTATCTTCTCGAGCAGGCTCCCGCAAGCGTAAAGGAGGATCCAACAAGAACAGCAACGACAGTGGTTTGGGGTTCAGCTTTTATGGCCCAACGAGCTTCTCGCAGTTCCGGCAGGCTGACTGGGTTTGGGAACGGCTTCCGTTGCTGTATGGGCAGCACCTGAAATTAACGCTAATGCTCATAGTGCTCAAAGAGCTTCCATGTTGGTGGGAACCGGCGCTTGACCAATGTGCATGTATCCAAGGGATCGGTCAGGTCATTGTTGGGAGGGAAAGCTGTAATCGTACCATATACAAATTTCTTCCTACACCATTCGTGTCAAGCTGTCAGAACCTTACAAGCACGAGCTTTAGAGCTCAGCATCCACTGAAATTGGATGCGTCAGCCAGGGCAGACCGCCTCTTTTTTGCGGTTTTCGAGCCTTGTAGGCAAGAAGCCAAAGGCAGTACATCTGCCGCTTTTCCGAGGCGAGTGCGCGCAAAGCTCTGCCGACAATGTTGTTCCGACATCGGTTCAGCAAGCGGAGATTTTCTCAAGGTTTGGGGTTCCCTGCCTGAGTTATTTGGACTTAGCCCTTTTGGCTTGTAAAAAGGTTAGCAGTGCAGGCGTCCGTGAGGCCGAATGCCCATCCTTGATCAACAGCGCCTTTCATAAAAGCCACC